CGAGCGGACCATTTTTTAGTGTGCCATGCATTAGCCCATAACTCACAGCTGGGTTATTACTCACAGCGGCCCATAACTCACGGGTCATGCTAGGTTACACGGCAGCGGGCAGGAACCGCAGAGCTGTGATGGATGACATGGTACAGTTGTAGTTACCGCTGATAAGAAGGTGGTGGAAGTTGTGGGGTGATGTTTAATTACACTGGAGCTGGACAGAATATTCTAGTAATGTTTCCTGTTTTTAACATGCCGTTTTATTTGAATTGATCGTTGTTTTATTACCTTCTAGCGGACATGTCGCTGTGTTATATGTTCATATAAGAGTCTTAACCGACCTGACCGGGCCCCTCTGCTGACCTGTGACCGGCTGCGTCAGCGCGCCGTGCTGGTGCTGAGCTGCGGCGCTGAGGTGCCGACGCGCTGGCCGCTGTCCCGCTGCGCGCTGCTCGTGCCGCTGCTGCCTCCCGCTGCCGCTGGTCCACTGGTACAGCGGTGCCGTGCCTCCTCAGTGGCTGTCCGCTGTCTGCCCGTGAGGCCCGACTGGGAGGCGCTGAGACACCCGGAGAGACACGGTGAGACACTGAGGATACAGCAGGGAGGGGGAGGACTGAGACACCCGGCAGAGAAAATCGGCGAGGAGGCCGAGGGACACAGGCACCCGGTGAAACACTGGAACGAGACACGCGAATGAGACGCTCGGTGTCTCGGACAGGGACAGACGCACGGCGTAGGGCACGCGGCGAGAAGGAGCCGTTGTGCAGCTACAATGTTTTGTCCTTATCGCCTCAAGCGTGGTTAGCTATCGTCAATGTTAACATTATTCAAATTCCTCATACGAGATCGGCCTTCAAAGCAGAGCTTCACCTACTCGTATACGTGGTGCAGCAGCGTTGTGTTCAGCAGTGGTCCGATTGGTACGAATTTCGGTTTTTAATTGTGACTGATTGTGCGTTTGCATTGGTTAAGTTTTTTTTTCTCATCACGACGCCCTCTCATCATTTGATCGTTTGACTCTGACTCTTTAGTAGTCACCTTATTGCGGAAAGAGCCAAACCCGCCAAAACAAATTAATGCATGAAAATCGACGGTTTAAAAGCGGCATTCGGTATGCCACTGTACAGAAACGGCACCCGTTATGCTTGACATTCCAGGAGGCAGGAAACCATAGGTGACAACGCTATTGCCGATTCCAAGACAAACTTGCAGGTTCTTTCGGTCGTGGAAACGTTCAGCAGGAGCTGGGGCGTAGCAATAGGCGCTTCTAGCCTGGTCGCTGATGCTGTGTAAAATGACGAAAAGGAGTGCAGTTAGCAACCATTATTTGCCTATCTGCGTGTCTTTGCCGCTTTTTGTCGAAGCCTACGGGCTACGAGTGACGTATATCTGTCTGTTGTCCGAATGACCTAGTTAGATTCAAACAAGTTACGCTGTACTACTTGCTATGCTTTATAAAAAGTCCTGTCAAAGTGAGATGAACCCATTTTTTTGTGATTTGACCTGCGAATACATGCTTCCAGCTTCGTAACCAGTTGGTAATGGTATATCATTCGAGCAAGCACAGGCCATTGTGAATATGAAATTCTTTGACCCTTATTCTGCCATCGTAGCGTATAGTTTTCATGACGAATGAACCGATAAGGGACAAGGAGACATTCCCATTTCCTTTCAAATCGTCAGTTTCCAATAGCTCGTCCTTTTTGTCGGCCCCCTCATCGTCGCCACATTATGACTGATACGCTGCCTGGTGATGTGCTATTCGTGACCAAGGTATGATATCAATGGATAGGTCTGGCGTTCCGGTACCATGTGACGCAACTAAAACAAAGGTGATACAACGAATGCTATAGCTCTATATGAGCGGAATGTATGGGGAACCGGTGACAATCTATCCAGCAATTCACACCATTGGTCGGCTGAAGAAAGGAACAAAAGCCGCACTGGACTATTTTGGTCATTTTCCGACATAGCGGGTCGTATCACAAATAAGTCCGCGCTCGTTGTATCGCTTATACTTGGGCACACCCTCCCACGCAACGCGTTTGCGATCGACAAATGTATGTGTGCGAGCTTTACCATTTATTTTGCTCGTGTCGCCATATAGGGCCTTGTCGTTGCCATGTGTCACAGGATCCGTGAGGACCCCGATTAATCAGCCACGGGTGCTGGTCGGTCGACAGTCGCAGTCTATGCGCATTCTATTCATGTACAGCCCTCAGCAGACTGCGTGGTAGGTATTCTTTTTTTTCGACAAAACCGGAAATAACTCAGACTGTGTTTTCAGTCGGTCGGAACTCACTGCAAATAAAGGCTCCACTCCTTCGATTGGGTATTTCACTAAACAAAGTATATGCCTTGTGTGGCAGCAAAATGCAAAAGTTTGTTTTCGGGGCGAATATGAACTTTAGGGTGTTGTTGCCAAACTGGATGGAAAATGAATACGATATGGTAATGCCAATCCAAGGTGCGGAGTCTCACGCGTCTTGCTGTTACGATTTCCGGGTGACCGATAGCATAGTTTCCGCGTTATTCTCGGTTTTGTCGAAAAAAGAATACCCACCACACCACGCAGTTGGCAGAGGGCTTTACAATTCATTCTAAGGTGGCCTACCGGCGTCATTTCTAAACTAGCGTTAGTCACGTTTAGCTCTGTCCTGTCACTTCCACCTCGCTTTATAGCGTCCTACCATACCCTCTTTGCGTTGGCCACACGTGCGGCCGGCACCTACCGTGCCTGCGACGTTCACTGGGCGCCCCGTCACGGAAACGATTCCAGTCCACACGCATCTATTATGCATGACTGTGTCTATTATTTATGACTGTTTGGTAAAATGGTCGGTAAGCCGAACTTGAAGTTTTTGTAGCGCAGTTAACAAAATATTAGTAATTTTGTGATAGCAGTGCTGTTAAGCGCGATCTTATATGGTTTACTGTTGGTAATTCACCGTGAGAAATAACTATTTGTCTGGCCGATTGTGATGGCATCTATGCTAATTCCTGATGCCGGTACTGACCATATTTTGTTTGTCCGTTGATAGTTGGATGTCTTTGCGTTATGTATGCATGGATCACTGCATAACGCCAACGCCACAAGTCATCAGTTAGCTGAAGTAGACTAGACTGTGTCGCTTATCATGCAGTTCAGCGCCTCAATTCAATATACCTTGGTTAAGCCGTGCTTGTGGTGACCTTGGAGGCACAGAGACTAGAGTGTCTCATTTGACCTGCGTGATAAATTGCACACTGAACAGTGCGCACTGCACAACCTCTAAGGGCGGCACGTCCTTCTGTAGTCATCCACTTATACATACATTTTTTACGCATTAATGACGCGGGCGGCAATAGTGCTCAAGGATCATGACTTACGAGTAGGCACACACCTATATAGGCTATAGCTGTACATACATATATACTTACATCGCGCAAAGAAACCTTAAACCACCGCTGTTGTATGAAATTCAACCATTGGCTTCTTTCCATACTCACTGTCCTGCGCTTCCTCTACCTACACCCGTCTCACGACTGTCTCCCCTTCCTCAGTGCTCGTCTCCCCTCCCCCTGCACCGCCGCCGCCCGGACCCCCGCCGGCCGGCCAGCCGGTCTCGGTGGTGGCCTGTGCTTCTGCTGCCGAACGCTGGGGTCTGCGGCGTCTGGAGGAGCTCTCCGGTCACACTGTCACCGCCCACGTCAGAGATTACAGGTGGGTAGGGGAGGGATCTAGAGACTACAGGGATATGGAAGGAATCCATGGATTACAGGTAGAAAGGAGAGGGATTCAGAGACTATAGTAGAGCAGGCAAGGGATCCAGGGATTCCAGGTGGAAAGGGAGGTACCCAGACACTACAGGTGGGTGGAAGGGAAGGCCCCATATCCAGAGATGTAATCGGGTGGCGCAGCACTATGCCCCTCATCTGACCCGGTCCGAGTCGACATCAGCTCTGACCCGGGGGATGCTGCGTCCCCAGCCGGCTGGTCGGGCTCTCTGCCGGCCCGTTCCCCGATCTGGTGCTGGCCGCCGACTCCTGTCTGCTGGTGCGCTCCCTGGCCGACCTGGCGTCCCCCTCGGACGGCCAGCGGCTGGCGGCGGAGGTGCGCGCTCTGCAGCAACAGGCGGCGCTCTGCTGGCTGGTGGTGGTGGGCCGCCGCCGCGCCGCCGCCGCCGCCGATACCGACACCAGGTCAGTGACATTGGCACTGACACTAGGTCAGTGATATATTATGTCATTGTCATCGGTTTGAGACGCCGACTCCGGGTTAGATGTCAGTGACAAGCACAGCACGGTTGTCAGACTTCACGCACTCAGCTGGCCCAGTTAATCCTCACTCTCCCTTTGGGGACGTTGCCTAGCGTATATTTTTTCTTAGTTTTGACTGACTGACTCGTGCCGATCCGCTAATATCGTCCGTTTGGTCTCTGATGGCCCGCTAAAACTTGAGTCTGACGTGAACTGACCTTAAATCGATCGTCTGACCTCGTGTTAACCCGCTACTATCGACCATCTATCTAACCCGCGTTGACCCGCTAATATCGACCGGCTGACCCGCTGCTACCGCTCGTGCGACCTCTGTTGACCCGTGGTTGACCCGCTACTATTGACCGCCCTGACCCGTGTTGACCGCCCGTCGAGACACGGGTCCGGGCCGGCCGACCGCGTGCCCCGGGGGCATTTGTCGGCGGTGCACCCCGCTGCGTGAATGTCGGTGATTAACCGGTGCCGGTAAGTCGTGTGTGTGCCCCACGACAGCCGCGGCGCCGTGGCTTTCAGTGCGGACCGCTGCCAGGCAGCGTTACCGGTGGGTTAATTACCGGTGGAATGGGCGCAGCCGTGCGGCCTGACCCGGCCCTGCCCCGCCGCCACGGTCGTTACCGCGCATGGTATCAAATATTCAGTTAACCATCACTGCATGGCGACTCGATGCACTGCGTGCACTAAATATGAACTTCTGGAAATGAGGGCATGCTTCAATGCGGCGATTAAATGGTAATCGGTAAGCATTTTTTTTCGGATGCAGTCACTTTTTACCGCGGAAAATGATAAAGGCATAGAAGCCGTGAGTACAGCCTTATGAGTTGAAATGTATTTTTTTTAGGGAGCCGGACTTGAGCCGTGGCAGTGGGCCGGATTTGAGCCGGACTTGGCAGTCCGAAACCATCCAAACTCCGAAGCGCCAGGGCAAAGACTGGCAAACCGAAATGAAGCCATCATATCGACCCAAATCCCCTGTTCCGACGGCGCTCCGTTTACACCGGCGCAAATCTGGCATATTGGAGTTGCAGGGGCAAAAAAGACTTCAGGCAAACCAAATTGCTGGCTGGAATTCTTGACATTCTTCTACAAGTGAAACATGCTTGCACAAGGCAATCTTTTCGGAACGAGAAATGGAATATCTACTTAAGGTGATCGTTGGGCCGTAAAAGCTCCCGATTTGTGCTAGTCTCAGCTCAAGCTACATAACTGCTATTCCAGTTCAAAGCCCCATGTTAAAAGTGGCATATTTTCGTTAAGTGCGTGCAACGGTGCCTCGGCTTAACTTTTTAAGCGAAACGCTTTGTGCAAACTCTTTCATATGTGTCCTCGATTTGAGAGTCGCATGAGCCTAATAAACAGCTGCGAATGTTGATGGTGTTTATGGTGATCACCTACCAGCGTTCGTTGTAATTCACTCACGGCTTGCCTGATCATGGTGGCACGACAGCGCATTGTGGCCAGACTGTGGCCCGTGTTCACCGGCCCCGGCTCCTTATCAGCTGCATCGTGACGCAGTTCTGATATAGCCTTCAGTGAAGCGACAAACCGCGCTGGATAGTACATGTATACATAATGGCACAGGCAGGGTTATTCTTGACCGAACATCGCCATTTTGCAGATTGGCAACTACGTTGTCTGGTTAAAAGGGAGCTTCGACTAGCATAACTAGTTACATTTTTGACGTTTTTCATTGCAGTAGACATGCCCAATGCTCATGTCAAATAAATGAACTACATTGCAATATTCCGGGGTCCTCTAATCGCCTTTTTGCTCGCAATGCCAACTGCCCACCACTCAACTAACCTCCACAGCGCGCACCATACACTTAGGTACGAGATCCAGAAGATGGCTGAGAGTCCTGTTCTGACTTCGATTCCGGACTAAGCGCTGGTCATGCCGCCTCTGTCCGTCCTGTTTCTGTCTGCGTCTGACTCAGAGACTCGCCGGTTCTCTTCGTCTGTGCTCGTACCGCCTCTGTCCGTCCTGTTTCTGTCTGCGTCTGACTCAGAGACTCACCACTAACCGTCAGTGTCTCCCTGCCGTCTATGGTTTTCTCTGATGTGTCTCCGCAGGCTTCTCTATTTGTCTCTAGGTCTATGTCTCCATGTCGCGAAGTCTTTATGTCTCTAAGTCTCTGTGTCTCTAAGTCTCTGTGTCTCTAAGTATCTGTGTCTCTAAGTCTCTGTGTGTCTAAGTCTCTAAGTCTTTATGTCTCTAAGTCTCTGTGTCTCTAAGTCTCTGTGTCTCTAAGTCTTTATGTCTCTAAGTCTCTGTGTCTCTAAGTCTCTGTGTCTCTAAGTCTCTGTGTCTCTAAGTCTCTGTGTCTCTAAGTCTCTGTGTCTCTAAGTCTCTGTGTCTCTAAGTCTCTGTGTCTCTAAGTCTCTGTGTCTCTAAGTCTCTGAGTCTCTAAGTCTCTGTGTCTCTAAGTCTTTATGTCTCTAAGTCTCTGTGTCTCTAAGTCTTTATGTCTCTAAGTCTCTGTGTCTCTAAGTCTCTGTGTCTCTAAGTCTCTGTGTATCGAAGTCTCTGTGTCTCTAAGTCTCTGCTTTGTGTCTCTAAGTCTCTGTGTCTCTAAGTCTCTGTGTCTCTAAGTCTCTGTGTATCGAAGTCTCTGTGTCTCTAAGTCTCTGTGTCTCCAAGTCTCTGTGTCTCTAAGTCTCTGTGTCTCTAAGTCTCTGTGTCTCTAAGTCTCTGTGTCTCTAAGTCTCTGTGTCTCTAAGTCTCTGTGTCTCTAAGTCTCTGTGTCTCTAAGTCTCTGTGTCTCTAAGTGTCTGTGTCTCTAAGTCTCTGTGTCTCTAAGTCTCTGTGTCTCTAAGTCTCTATGCCTCTATCTCGGCAGGCGGGAGGAGGCGGTGGTGGGTCGGCTGCGGGCCCTGCTGGCCTCCGCCGCTCACCTTCCCGAGTATACGCTGCGCCTGGTGCGTGCCGATCAGGACAGCGTGGTGCACATCGTCCTGGATATCGTGCAGCAGACCAGCGAGACGGTGAGACGGGCGGGGAGGGAGAGAGGCAAGGATGGGAGGGAGAGAGGAGGGGAACACGAGAGGGTTTTCTGGGAGGCAGGAGGTTTAGGACTTTGAGCAGAGGCGTTTTACTTTTTCGAGGCAGTATGCTGAGGCTGAAGAGGGAGAATATGGTGAAGAAAGAGAGAGGGTACTGTGTGGTCTGCGAGTCGACATTGTGATAAGTGATTGTGCGTAGTTCCACTATTATTATGGCACACTCAGCCTGGACCTATGCACCCTATCAATTTCGTTGATGAATGGGACTATGCCACAAGCTTACTGTGTAGTTTAATCGTTTGTTCAGTTCTGTTTGTTGTCGATAAATGCAAACACGGGCCGCCACATTATGTACTGTTCATGTGTTTGTTTGTGACAGTTATCGGATGGGCGGCGACATTCTGGCGCGGGTTCTTTATTAGCGTGACAATAACTTTTAATAAAGCATAGTTGCTCTGAGTACGAGCTCTGAGTACTGAGTACATGGAATGTCACTACATGCTTAACCTTTTGTACTTTATTTCAGGCTCAAATGGCATGCTATTCATATTTCATATACGGCAATAAAAACTGAGCCATTTCAGTTCTGGTATGTCAATCACTGTGAGTGGGGCCCGCGATGACGAACATTTACCGTTGCTCACAACCCTGAATTGGCTGTTGAACCGTCGCAACCATTCGTAGCTATCCCATCCCCAACACAAAGATCCATGCATTTTCAAAAAAATTTCTTTGTATTCCATTAGCGCAACCTATCACGAAGAAGTCTTTTGATTAGCCACTTTTAATTGCGCTGTATCAATTCGCGAGTGCTAATACGCCGTTGTTGTTGCTGTCGGTCGATCGACCGTAGCTGGCATTCGTGTTTCTTTCGGATTCCTTATGAATGTTTATGATAAGGACAAAACCGATAAACGACCTTTTTGCCCAGCCAGATAGTCCCACTCGATCCCACCCGGGATTTCTGCACACAGTGCACACATCCCACCCGGGATTTCTGCACACAGTGCAACCCTCGATTGAGATTGGGGCGGTATCTGGAAATGTGACACTGTACGGGCGTAAGGCGTCCCGAATATCCCATCCTTCCCCGCGCTGCCGGTAGGGACATCCCGAGGGCAACCGGAGCGTCCTGACATTTCTCTTCTTAGATGGGATTTGTGTGGGATATCCCAACAAGTATCTCTGTGGGTCAAGGAGAGACTTCAGAAATGCGCCTCTTATAGTTAGGTAAAAATAGAATAGTTATATAAAATGACAGTTGGCTAGCCAGGAACGAAATCGTTTTAGATATGCCGAGTATACCTGCCCCGGTAAATCGGAATTTTTGGAGATTATCGTGACATTCCCCAACAATATATCGACCAAATTGCTGCCTATGTAGTATGCACATGTAAAATGTCGTGGATTGTGGAAAGGAAGGTTCCATTTCATGGCTGCAGACTGCAGTCTGCAGAGGAATGTATTTATTCTGCTTTTCATCGACAGTCATAGCTTTAACGAGCAAGTAGAAATCGCAAATGGAGAACGAATCCGTGTAATAATTTCCAAAGTAATATCAACTGTGAACTGACTTATGTACATCATGTGTTGTGCTGAAGCCCTTTTGTTGTAACCACCCGCGGGCTGAGTTATGAGCACGTCGTGTCCCCCTCCGTTATCAATATGAAAGTACCTACATCCAGCCGCCCTTATCTGTCCGCCAGGCGGGATCGGCGGGTGACGGACGGTCAGACGACTTCCAGCCCTCCGCCGACGCCCAGTGCACAGAGGACGAGTGGCTTCTGCTGCAGCTGCCGGCGTGTAACGCCGTCTCTGCGGGCCTCCTGCTCCGGCGGGCCGGAGGGCTGCAGCAGCTGCGCGCTGCTCCGCTCGGACGGCTCGTTCAGATCATGCCAGAGCTGCCGGTCAGGGTCCTGGCAGCCCTGCAGCGCCACCTACAACAGCCGAAACAGACGACAGCGACACCGGGGTGGGTAGCAGCCGGACGGCCTGCGTGGTGTCCGTCAGCACTGAGAACGGTGACAGACGGTCACGTTTCCTGATAAGTCTGTCAGTAGCTTTACATCAGATTATGAACTGAACTCACCGTATGTGGGCTGTTGTTTTTCTGTCTATTTGTTCTCTGGATTATCTGAATAAATATTCCTATGTTTGGGTTAACATTGGTTGTTTACGATTTTACATTGCCGCTAAATTGTGCGAATATTTATATTCATTCAGCAATCAGCATTTCTCAGTGACTTTAGCATCAAATCTTATCAATCCTGTACCCTTTCCTCGACAGTGACTTCTGCGTAGATGGTATGGCACCTATGAACAACCAAGACCTAACCGGCCCGGGCTTCCTGTCGTTGCCTCGGCCGCCTTCGCCGCCCACAGCGGCCTTCCCTTCCGACGTCCTCCGACGAGAGCCCACCGTTCCCTGTAGCCGTCATCGGCGGCCCGGGCTCCATCCCGACGTTCCCCCGTTTGGCACAGAGTGCCACACACGGCCACCGTACGATGACGAGTCAGACGGGGACTATGGATCGCGTCATCACCCGGTCTACGGCGGGCGGTTCGACCGACAGCACGGCTCGGAGCACGGCCTGGAGCACGGCGGCTCTGCGGCCGACGGGACAGACGACTGGCTGACCGCCCCGAACGCGGTGGACCTGCTGGCTGCCGAGGCCTGTTCCGACGAGTGCAACCCTCACTGGCTGGATGAAGACAATGTGTATGACGGTAGGTAAACGGAAGGGATGGCTGGGGAGGGGTGGGGATGGGAGAGGTGGCGGGTTTGTGTGTAGGTAGGTGGACGCCGGATGAAATGAAAAAAAAAATCGTAGCCTGTAGGCTGTAGGGACCATGGATGTTAGTGGCAGATGAAAGGTCGTCGTACGCCCCCCCCCCCCCCTCCTTACCAGGGGTGGAGATCTGTCAAAATGTCAGGGGGGTCCAGGCCGGGCAGATTGAGGCGGGCTGGATGCAGTACCATTGACTTACTTAGCAGTAATTCGTTTTCAGGGGGAATCCTGACCCCCCCCGATCCCCGACCCCCCCCCCCCCCGATATCTCCACCTCTGCTCCTTACCACCCCGCCCGGTCGCGGGATGGCCGGCCATCCCCTTGGCCACCCCAGCCCGGCAAGGCCCTTCTCCGGAGAGAAGCGGGCCTGCCGGGCTGGCCGGGTTCCGAAGGTTTTAAAGCGCCACCTGAACTGTGTGTGACCTTCACCTTTTCTCGCTGCCTTTTCAGACTCACCGCCAATGGAAACGAGTCAGTGACGTCATGGCTTTCCTGGTGACGTCATCTGGAGAGTCCGGCTGAGCCGAGTGCGGTGGCGGTGGATAAGGCTTGGATACTGCTTGCACAGCACGCAAAGAGCTAGCTTTCGTACCCATGACCGGACGATTGATCTCGTAATTTGGCGGCTAGTGATTGAAATGCCCATTTGTTCCGTGGAGTGAGGAAATAAACGTGTTCAGTTGTCGAATAACTGCGTAATTCTTTATTGTTCCGCCTGATCGGGAGAGACAGCAGTATGACGCAACCCGGGATCGCCGGTACGACCTGTGCGACCAGTGTCGCTTTTCGGATTGGATGGGAAGGGCGCCAGGAGTTCGTCGCCTCGCCTTGGGACCGTGGACTGAAATCCCCATGTCACACGAGTAGTGTGACTTGTGAGTCATCGGTTATAACTGTGTCCGAATGGGTCACGGGTGCTCATCCCTCCCCCAAATGCCCCTTGCCGGTCCTGCATTGCGCCCGACAGACTTCGCCGGGGACCCCCTTGAACTCGCCCTTTGACGTATGAGTCCGACCCGCGGGTCACAATCTACGCGCCACATACGGCCTTGCGCGCCACATGCCGCCGGAGCCCGGAGCACCACGTGTCGGAAGAGGGAGGAGGCCCTTCAGGGGGGCGATAGCGCACCACTGAAAAGGCCAAGGGTGCGCCAAGCCTGATGAACAGGAGACGGTGTCTGATTATAATCACTTTCATTAGCATAATTTTGTGCAATCAAGCTTCGTTGAAATATTTAAACATTGTCATTGCTCTAAGATACCATTACAATCAATTAAAACCTTGAAACTAGGCTAAAGTTAGACCTCGAAGTTTTATAGTGTCAAACCCGCTTTCCGTTGAAAAATACTAATTGACAAAAAGTGTTCTGCCATTTTATTCACAAAATAGATCCAAATCTAAGAAATTTCAAACAATGAGAAATAACAAATGCAAAATGTTGGGAACTTAATCAAAAGTTGCATTTCTAAAATATAAAAGCATGGTGAAAACCGCCAAGGTCTTAGGCCAAATGCTACCAGATTACACCGCTGCTGGATATGGAAGCCCTAAGTCCGAGCTCTCTCACTCTCCTTCATTTTGTTCCTCTGTGTGTCGAAGGCGTCTGTGGCGCGGGACGTGTGTTCTCGCGCACTTCGCCTACCCATATTGTGCTAAAAAATACAAAAAAATCAGAAAATATAAAACCCTTAAACATAATTGTGGTGTAGCTCCGAACCAAGTCATCAAACCATGAATTCGGCCGGCCCAAACTATCCCATGGCGTCCCTGTACGTCGGGGATCTCCATCCGGACGTAACTGAAGCCATGCTCTTTGAGAAGTTCTCGACTGCTGGCCCTGTCCTGTCCATCCGAGTTTGCAGGGACATGATCACCCGTCGTTCCCTCGGCTACGCCTACGTGAACTTCCAGCAGTCGGCTGACGGTAAGTCAAACTGTTCTTTTTATGGATTTGGAATAATGCTGCTTATTGTGGCTTATGCGGATACTGCTCTGCATTGCTATTATGTGGCTATATCAATAAGCACATTTGTCACAATGTGTCATAAAACTGTCACTTTACCATGCTGAATTTAGGCTGAAACAATGGCTGTCTGTTTGTTTCAGTGCTGTTTAAATTGTTGGCTTAATTTGTAGGGCTGCTTGTAATGATGTTTTGTGAGGAGGCAAGAGTGCAGGTGAAAAATTACCTACTATTTTCAATGGTTTTTCCAGGAGCAACCTAAAAATTGGGCTTTGGTGCTTAATTAAATAACAAGTTGAGGAGGCCCTAAGCAGCAATACAATTGATATAATTCAATGCCAAATGCTGCTGGCTTCCATTAGTTATTGCTTCATCCTTTGCCAAAAATTTCTTTTGTGAGTAATGTGCTGCCTTGTTATTTATCAACAACCTTATCTTCAAAAAAAAAAATCCCTTCTTTGCTGTCATGGCAATAAAGAAGAATATGCCTATTTGTTTTTGCACTTAAAAGCTGAAGGAGCATCACAAATTCTGTATTTGCATGAAATAAAGCAAATAATTTTGCAGAAATCTAAGTGCTTTAGGCTCAAGTGGTATTCCAAATTCAAAATAGGCATTGCATTGTAAGGCATATTTGCAAAAGAATAGGTAGGCATGATGGGTAGGTATATTGATAATGATTGGGTCCAGAGCTGTGAAATGTTTCTATATGTGGCTATGGACTTGGCAATGTGGTAATCAATCAATTCAAGACTCACTTAACACTTCACAGCTCACTTAGTACCCAAATGTTTACATATAAACACGTGTGAATGCAATATTGCTATTTACTGCAGTAAGTCTGGTTGAGATTGTTAGGCAGATCCATTCCACTGAGGAGTTTGGTAACCTGGTAGAGGATAAGTCACAATTGTATGCTTCCTGGCTGGTTCTCAATGATGTTCCCTGCTCTTATTGTTCACTCCATTACTGCCCACTCAACAAAAGTATGCCTTCTTGGCCTAAGGCTCCCAATGGAGCCAAATACTTTCAAAGGAAAATGAAATGTATCTCTCCCTGAATTTTTCAGCTCCCCCTCATTATGTTCTTGCTGGTTCTTGCTTGAGTTGCTTTTTTATATCAGGTCATTACTCATGCACATTAATCCTAAAAACAGCTGCTGCAGTGGTGAGTGTTTCCAAAACATGTGATTGCTGGCAGAATATTATGGCACATTGGCATACTAGCTTGATGCTGGCCTGGCACATCACAATGCTGCAGAGGTAGCACTCAGCACTTACCTAGTTTATATGATTTTAAGCCTTGAAAAGTGAATGGATGAACATTTTCTAAAAAAAAATCACTTCACCCTTCATTTGCTGCAAGCAGGTCACCAGAGGGACAGATTTGTGATCATTTAGCATTAATACATAGGAAGGTGTGCAATGTTCTGATTAATGATAGTTCCATATAGGGTTTCTCTTAGAGGCGTATGTGTGTTAAAAGATTATCAATGGGGCATACCTCTAGAATTAAATTTAAAAAAATGTTAAGAAGGAATTAAGAAATATATGGCTGACTAACACTGAGTTTTCCTAAAATCTATTAATTTCAGTGTAATGAACTTCCGGTATGTCAGGTTTTTATTTAGCTAAAGGTCTGCCAAGCTGTGGTTTGTGCACGCGGTCTATCTAACGTTTCGTCGCGCTCCAATTTCGTCACCGGTCGACCCGCTGGGAGAGAACGTGGCCCGCAGCTTGCACCACCTTCGTGGCACTGCCTGGTAACGTCTTGCATAATCCTACCATGGATGGAGTGTTCAGCATTTCACCACAATACCTGGGCCCCCGAGCGTCGGAGCCAGTGATAATGCTCGGGTGTTTTGCTTAGTGTGACGAAGTTCAGTTCATATGGCTGCTGGCATGTGCAGCTTTTTGATTCAAGAGTCGAATATTGGCCTTTTGGAAGGGATAGAATATCAAGTTAGCGCAAAAAGTTGCGTTCATAGTTTACGCACAAATTTATTATCGTTCTTGTCCAGGTGCATAAACAGACGGACAGCTGTCCCGTTCAGCTCGATCGCCTGCCTCTGGCCACTGCCCTGCCGTCCCGGCCGTGACGGCTGCGGCGCAGTTGGCCGGCCGGCCGCCGGGCGATCTGGCCGGGCCCGCGGCCCGTGACGGCGGCCCGTTCACAGGCCACAGCGCTTTCTCCGACCGGGCCGGGCCGGTTCCACCGCGACTTTCTAACCGGGCTGACCGGTGCCACCGAGTTCCCGGCGCACGGCGCGGCGAGAGGCCCGGTGCGGCCACAGCTGGGGCCCCGCGTGGGGACAGCCGCCGGCACCTGTGATGGAGTGGGGTTGGGGTGGGGAGGGGTGATCGGCGTGACTTACGCTTAGAATGAGTCACGTTTGGGCCCTGGTCATTAGACGCGGTATATTAAGTTAGACGCCTTATAATGGGAAAGTCATGCACATACGTGAAGTACGGCGCCACAATATGAAAGGTTTCTACCATAGATCATAATGGGCCAAATGCAATCCGAAGGGATTGCATTTGGGAAGGGAATGCTATGACACCGGCGTCTGGTACGATTTATCGAAATTAACTGAATTTTCGAGTGGTGACTCTAACGTCTTGCGCGTTTGCTCTGAAAGTAATGTGAAGCGGATTTGGTACTAAATCTTCAGCACGCTGCAAGATTTACCACGCTGTTCGTCGCGTCTGATATGGAGCATGGACAATGCACATTGTGCCATGCACATGACTGACTTGAGTCAATAGTGAGCATCCGCTCGGCAAAATTTGCCTGAAAGGGTTTCGCTTCATTGATGAATGCAGCTTGTTATAAATCATTAATGACTCGTGTTCTTGGTGTTAGCACAAAATCTTTTCCAGGCCTAAAAACAAAACCGAAAGATGTGTTTTTTATGTACCAGTGCTAAGCACAGGACGTACCTATATAAATCTGGGACGTGCAACTAACATTTTACCGTGCAACTACACATGTGACTTCACTGTTGCGGACAAAACGAACTACGAACTAGTTCATGTTTATATCAGGCTTCATTTTTCATCATGCAATGGGCGGCTGTTTATGTGATGAGAATTTGGAGCCTGCTCTTCTGGCGTTGAGCTCAACTCAGGTCGGTCGGACCAGGTCGGACCCTTGGTCGTGCTAACAGAGCCTGATAGATCGGGATGGCTGGACGTTTTTTTTTTTTAGATTTGAACCGGCTTCTGGCGTGGTTTTATTGTTCCTACAGCTTACACTCGTACCTACCAATATCAGACTAGATTGGATATCAAACTCTTGGTGCAGATGGTTTCCTTGAATTGAGATTATTTTTTATCATCCATCGCGCTATGTTCTATACCGGCATCAATCGACTTTGTTGACTTTGTCTGACGAGCTTGCCTGTTTTCTTCTGTTCTCAGCTGAGCGCGCCCTGGACACGATGAATTTCGACGTGGTGAAGGGTCGTCCGATCCGCATCATGTGGTCCCAGCGCGACCCGTCGCTGCGCCGCTCCGGCGTCGGCAACATCTTCATCAAGTCGCTGGACAAGTCGATCGACAACAAGGCCATGTACGACACGTTCTCGGCCTTCGGCAACATCATGAGCTGCCGCGTGGCCACCGACGAGAACGGCGTCTCCAAGGGCTACGGCTTCGTCCATTTCGAGACCGAGAAGGCGGCCAACGACGCCATCGAGAAGGTGAACGGCATGCTGCTCAACGACAAGAAGGTGTTCGTCGGCAAGTTCGTGCCGCGCAAGGAGCGTGAGAAGGAGCTGGGCGAGAAGGCCAAGCGCTTCACCAACGTCTACGTCAAGAACTTCGGCGAGGACCTGGACGACACCAAGCTGCTGGAAATGTTCGAGCCGTTCGGCACCATCTCCAGCCACAAGGTGGCCTCTGGCGAGGACGGCAAGGCCAAGGGTGAGTAGAGCACGCTGACATTGTTAGTCGCTCTTGCGTTTGTATTTATTAGTGTAGCTTTCACAGATCTGTTGATACAGCTGTTGCACAAAGGCATAACTGTCGCGGAGGGCGCTATACGCTTGCTTCTGGACGTCTATGTGCAAAGACCTCGCAAATAATTGAGCGTATATGTTACCTCGCATTTCGCAATGCATGTTTACCTTACAATGAACTGAGATCAGGCAGTAACCAATGGCATGTTTTCTCGTTCCATAGGCTTCGGCTTCGTCAGCTTCGAGGACCCGGAGGCGGCCGAGAAGGCCGTCAACGAAATGAACGGCAAGGAGATCAACGGCAAGACCATCTACGTCGGCCGCGCCCAGAAGAAGGCCGAGCGCCAGCACGAGCTCAAGCGCAAGTTCGAGCAGATCAAGCTGGAGCGCATGAACCGCTACCAGGGCGTCAACCTGTACGTCAAGAACCTGGACGACGGCATTGACGACGAGCGTCTGCGCCGCGAGTTCGCCCAGTTTGGTACCATCACCAGCGCGCGCGTCATGATGGAGGACGGACGCAGCCGCGGCTTCGGCTTCGTGTGCTTCTCGTCGCCCGAGGAGGCCACCAAGGCCGTCACTGAGATGAACGGCCGCATCGTGTCCTCCAAGCCGCTGTACGTGGCGCTCGCCCAGCGCAAGGAGGACCGCAAGGCCCACCTAGCCAGCCAGTACATGCAGCGCATGACGTCGATGCGGATGCCGGGCGTGAACCCGATGTTCCAGGCGGGCGCCGGCGGCTACTTCGTGCCGACGATGCCGCAGGCGGCGCAGCGGTTCTACCCGCCGGCGCAGATGGCGCACCAGATGCGGCCCGGGCCGCGCTGGCAGCAGCCGGCCGGCGGACAGATGCGACTCGGCGGACAGGCGGCCGGAGGCATGCCGGCGCCGTTCCGCGGCCAGGCGCAGCGCGCCGCCGGCGGCCAGGCGCCGGCCGGCGGCATGCGCGGCATGCAGGCGGGCCAGACGCGGCCGATGGCGCAGCAGGCGCTGCTGCCAGCCGGCATGCAGCCGCGCCCGATGGCGCCGCAGCCGGGCGCCGCCGGCCAGCAGCCGCGGCCCGCCTACAAGTACACGGCCAACATGCGCAACCTGCAGCAGCTGTCTGCGGCCGGTGTGAGCGGCCAGGCGCCGCTGATGCCGGGCGCCGCGCAGGCGCTGGCCATGCAGCAGCAGCCGGCCGTGCGCGTCCAGGGCCAGGAGCCGCTGACGGCCAGTATGCTGGCCGCCGCCCCGGAGCAGGAGCAGAAACAGATGCTCGGAGAGCGTCTCTTCCCCATGATCCAGGTGCGTATAGGGCTGTCTGTATTGCGTAGCAAGGATCTCCTGACCAGTCTGGGCTGTAGCACTGCATAGGTTGTTTTTACTTTGCTCGAAATCACGACTGTTTGGTGTTAGGGAGCATCGATTAGCAGCAGTCATCAAGTTTTGAGCGTTTGGTTGACGGTTGCTGACATTACCAGCAGCAGCTAAGCTGGATTCGTTAGGTAGCGTGTTTCAGCCGTCAGTCGCGCTGCCCGTCCTCCCTGTGACACTGCTTTGTCCCTGTTCGCAGCACATGTACCCGGAGCTGGCCGGTAAGATCACCGGTATGCTGCTGGAGATCGACAACTCTGAGCTGGTGCACATGCTGGAGCACCACGAGTCGCTCAAGGGCAAGGTGGACGAGGCTGTGGCCGTGCTGCAGGCCCACCAGGCCAAGGCCACCCCGGCCGCGGCCGCCAGCGGCGCCGCCGCCGCGCCGGCCGCTGCCCCCGCCAAGAAGGAGTAGGCGGCGGCTGGCCGGCCTTCCGGCGGAGACGTGTTCGGAGCTACACTGCGATACCATGGGCGCGACGCCAGCGCTCCGACCTCCTCCGCCACAGAACTTCGACACACGGACACACACACAGAGGAACACACACACACACAACCACAGTAGTGGTAGACACATAAAAGTGACACAAAGAAAGCCAACAAAAAAAGCGTAAAACAGAAAGTTGTGCCGGAGTGCGCGGCGGGACGCCGGCGGCGGGACGCCGGCGGCGGCCGGTCGGCGGCCGCCGGTGCCGCCGCCGCGCCGCGGTGCGGTTTTATTTGTATACGATCGGGCGGGCTGCCGGGTACCCCCGGCGGTCCGCCCCGCCACACCTCCATCTGTGGCCGGGTCCGGCGAGGGTCAGACGACTCCGCCGGACGGCGCGCGGGCCGCGATCGCACCGACCGGCCGCGCGCCAACCAGGTGAAAACAAAAAACTTTTATACAAAAATGTATACATCTCTCTACTGTAGAGACAAAAAGCCTACAATAAAAGTTGATCAAAAATGCCGACAATAAAAAAATAAACCCGAAACAAAAACGAAACGGGGAGAAAAAGATACGACTTGTTGGTAAACTACCAACAGGATTGAGTTATGTTTTGTTCCAGATCATATTCCAATGATGGCCATTCCCGATGTGTTGCGATTTATAAAGTTTGTTCTTTGGTTTATCGCTTGTACAGCCGTAGATATAGATGGTGGCAAGGCCGCTCGCGGCGGAGTCCGACGGGCTATCCAGGCCAAGTCTACCAGGCCGTCCCAATCCGCACGTGCGCAGATGCCAGTGTGGACGCCCCAGGACTCCGCGGGACTGGTGGTTGGGGGCTGGGTTCCCGAGGTATCTTCAACTTTTGTCTTATGTCATGTTTTATGCTTCCCGTTTCGAAAATAAACTACTCTATCAGCTGTGTGGTTTGGTGATGAATGTGGAAAGGACCATCGTGTGGCTTGCTGAAGGCTGAACGATGCAATGGGCAGTGCAATCTGAGACTATCTATATAGTCGGGCACTGAGTCAGGCCATATTGTCTAATGAGCTCGAAACCTGATGGCTGGCAAAACCCACGGGCACCGAGCCGACAGCTCGTGGCTTCAATGGGTTGAGTACGTATCAGTGTTCTGGTTGAAAATGAGCCCACGTCACCATCGGATTATTGCGCTCCCACTCTCCCGAGCCAACGAAGCTGCGGTGTTTGTCCAGGTGGATCATTGCCATGTCACGGTCAATGCGCCGCCGCCTCTGGGCCGTGTTTCAGCGCATTACGCTATCAGGTATTGGCGCTCGTTTTTTATGGAAACCCTAAGAAAAACGGATGTTTCTGCTCCTTTGATTCTGCTTATGTTTCAATAGAAGTTGAGCGCGCCGCTAATGCCTGTTTGCGTCAGGGAGCGGCGTCAGTGTCGTGAAACAGTCCTCAGCAGTCAGCCATGATACCACTCAGTTTGCGCTCAGGCCCTCGTCTATCCGCTAGGTGGCAGTAATGGATGGGTCGCCGTCCGTCGTCATTTTACAGGTGGCGCCATCAGTTGTAATTTGAGTCGCTCGGAAGTCGCAGAAGGGGGGCGGTGATATCGGCCGCAAGTGAATCGGGCGTTGGACTTGGAAGGTAAGTGGCGTGTCGTTGCCTTTAGAATATATCGCCGTCAATCTTGTTGCGTTGCTTCATAGAAAAGGCAAACTCGTTTTTTTCGTGTTCAACCATCGAACATTGACACTTTACCTCGTTCATTCGTTTTTCGTCCGCTGAGCGTTGACCTGTGTCTACCTACTCTTCGCTCATTCGAATCTTCGTTTTTTTTTTTTTTTGGTTTGTAGCAATGCTACAATGCAATGGATGTAAAGTAACATTCATAAAAAGATTGGGATTTGTCACTAGTAAGCAATCAAATTAACGTTATCTGCAGGAAGGTCAGGATACTGCGTGACGGTTAGTGATAAAGTCAATCTTCCAGGGCCCAACGCAAGTAGTCATGTCATGTCCCAGCAAACATGCCCACATGGGTCCCATATGGGGTGAACATGGGCCAGATGGGCCCACGTGGGACATGGGCTACAGATGGGCTACCCATATGGGCCCCATATGGGATAAAAATGGGCCAGATGGGCCAAACCGCATGTGGGCTGGAGATGCGCATCCCATGTGGGTCCCATATGGGGTGAACATGGGCCAGATGGGCCCAGGTGGCACATGGGCTACAGATGGGCTACCCATATGGGTCCCATGTGGGCGCCGCGTGGGTCCCATATGGGGCCTACGTGGGCTGGCCCATATGGGTCCCACGTGTCACCCACTGCCATTCCCATGTGGGACCCATATGGAAGAGGTGGGGGGCCCATGTGGGCCCCATATGGGAACCATGTGGGCATGTTTGCTGGGGTGGTTGTATATTCATCAAGTTAGGTCGCCGGTTGGGATAAGGGAACCGCACTCACGTCGTTTGACACTCGCTAGCGGCTGTAAGATCGCACTGTTTATTTATAATAATATATGCATGGACGGGAGGGTGCCTTGGCGGCCCTGTGGCGCTGCCTCACTGTGCGCTTTCCTCCACACCTGTACAGAGCCTGGCTACCCGACGCCACCTGGAGCGCCGAGGCGGCGGTGGGCGTCCTCTGTCGGAGTGGTCGTCTGCCACCAGTGAAGGGCTGGGGAGATCAGCTGCAGTCTCTGGGAGGAATTGACTGGCGACAGGACAACAGCAGGTAGGTTCACTTTGGTTTATTATCAGAGAAAAAAAAAAACAGATTGAAAAACCAGAGATGTTCAGTGCGTGGGACTTTCGGTTCATCTCTGATTCATTTACTTACCTAATAAACAGTGAACACAAACGCCACACAAAAAATCGCCCTTACCTGACTTAGCAGAAACTCTTGTCTCGCTCTCAGTTTTGCCCGTGCATCGGCTATCGGATAAAAAGTTTTAGCCCTCCAAATATCGGAGATCGTATACTCCAACTATCGGTTTCTCAGGCCATCTCTCCAGTTGGGATAGATCGCCGCCGCTGGTCACCTCCAACGAAGGACGTTATTGAACCATCGCACCTCGACTGGCTGTTGTTTGAAGGCTGAACGGAAAATGGGACGCTGTTTTAGTAGGCATCCAGTCTTTTGGCATCCGCCATCCATCGTCAAGATAGTGTGCGCATCCGAAACTGGCGCTGTCACGCCGAAAGGCCCCACTTTGAGCTTGCTTGAAAAGCACATACCTATTCCTCCGTAACAGCGACCTTGTTATGGATTGTGGAATGATACGGTAACACCGCCCGCGCCGTCCTCAGCGGTTCGGCCTGAAATTGATTTAAATCTTTTGTGTAAAAGTGATGTTCATGTTTGAAGTTAAATATGAGTGTCTTATTCGAAACAATAATCCCACACTGTTTTATCGAAACGCCTGTAGTTTGTTATTTGACTACGTTCCGCCGTCCTCCGGTAGTCCTCTGTCGTCAAGTATTACAAACAATTGAGCGACCATCCGTCCTCCTCTCCCGCCCCATCTTTCCCGGTACGGTAGGCTTATGCCGTTTTAGGCTTAGCCAGCCGTTGCATGCTGAGCCGGCCTCCGCCTAGGCCTAGGCACTTAGGCAGCCGCTGTAGGCTGAAGCCGGGCCACTGTATACTTAGAAGACCGTTATTGGAAGGCTGAGGGGCCGCTATAGGCTGAGGCGGCCACTGCAGACTGAGCCGAGGCCGTTTTATGATGTTGGCTGTAGGCTGAGGAGGCCGTATTAGGCAGGCCGAGGCGACCACTGTAGGCCGAGGAGGCCGTATTAAGTAGGCCAAGGCGACCACTGTAGGTCGAGGAGGCCGTATTAGGTAGGCTGAGGCGACCACTGTACGCCGAGGCGGCCGTATTAGGTAGGCCGAGGCGACCACTGTACGCTGAAGAGTCTGCTGTAGGCTGAGGAGTCTGCTGTAGGCTGAGGGAGGCCACTGTAGGTAGACCATGGACGGCCGTTCTCCAGCCGGGGCAGGGGCCGCGTGGGCCGCCGCGCACCGCGGGGTGTTTCGTCAGAGCGGGCCGCTTGTCCGTGGGATCTCGGGACTCGGAGCGGCAGAGTTTCGACACGGCCCCCTCCCCAGTGGACGGGGCCGGACGGGTGGACTATCGTCCCGCGCCGACCAGTGTGACTCTGCGACATTCAATATAACTACATACATATGTTCTGATCGTCAGATGAATAGATAATACGGTGAATTGGCTCGTCTTGCTGAGTTGACGTGTGGGTCTTAGTTGGAATAATTAATCTGCGCTGTCTTGTGGGAAGGTATGGCTACAACTACAAGATATGTCTTCGTTTTTTCTTTTTCTTTTTGTGTTGGTTACTCTTAACATCTTCGATAAAGAGCAATCGTTTTTAAATAGCAAAGTGTGAAACTTTTATGCTCGGTCATTTGAGGCCAGATCACCGGTCAACGCTAACTCACATAAAACAGTTTGTGGCTCGTTGTCCATCTGCATTCCCCACAGCTTCCCGATGACGGATTTGAAAGAGAAGTAAGTGATTAAGTTTAAGTGACCAAGGTTATGACGAGTCTGGTCTCTTGGCATAGGCTTCTTACCAGGCTGGCCACCATTCTCGCCCATCGCCATCGCCCCGGTACCTTTTTGATGGTCATCTCTAATCAATTTACCTGAATTAGGTGTTACTCAACATAGCAGCAGACTGATATAGGGTGGGGTGGGAGGGAGTGGGACGGTGTGTGCGCTCGGCTGCCCCTGTCGCAGCTGGGGACCAAATCGCGGCACCGGGCCCGGTTGCGACACGGCCCCATTGTGCGGGACGGTGCTGGTAGGACGGCCGCGCCGGACCCCAGTTCCGCTCAGTGGACAGGGCCGGGCCGGGCCGACCCTCGCCGGACAGGGCGACACAGACACCGGGACCCTCTGACGGGCCGCCGAGATACAGCTGACGCACAGGCAATACAGTAATTAAATCATTTGGATCAAGTGCTCCCTGCCCGTATAATGGATCACCGTTACGTCAGACATCCTGCGCGCTGTTGCGTCATCACATGGGGGACCATGGGCCTAACGCTGTGAACCTTTCTCGGCCATACAGCAATAGGGGAGACATTTTCGATAACTTGTTTGAAATGCTTGCCCTTAGAACTAAAAAAGAAATATGGATCCCGCCTTTCAATTTTCTCCCGTTTACTTATACTGAAGAGGTCGCAAAATTGACCTGACCTTAGGCCACCAATATCGAAATTTCGAGACATGCATTTTGTATACTGTCGCTACTCGCTCTTATCAATCGCTTGAAGTTTTAAAGCGATGGGTCACTCGGTGTAACTATGAGAGGCGCCGGACTTTTTATGAGGTTAGGTCACTTAATGTGACCTCTTGACTTGACCTTGAGAGTTGAGTGGCCTTGGTCTGAAATTTTAACAACATAGGCAGAAAAGATGTATGCTAAGGTGTACCTAAAACGGTGGCCCTCCGCGTCGCTGTTTTTGAGATCTCAGATCTCATATTCCCGAAAAACTGCCAGGGAATGTTGAAATGCCCCTTCCCCCTCCCCGCAGGGCGCGGGCTAATCCACTCTCCGGAGGTGTATCTGTGACCCGGGAGTCAGATTTGTGACCTCGCCATTATAAACGAATGAGGGAAGTAGCCCACTGTCTTGTTGAGCCAGTCAACAAAACCGCTGAATGAAGGTATTTCAGTTGAAACAAGTAGGTATACTAACACGGAACAAAAATGATAAACGAACACGTTTCTCTTCATCTCTTTTTAGACGCTGATGACGCCGATTTAGCCGAAACGCGTTCGTCTATCATTTTTGTGGCGTGTTAATACATATATAAACCGCAAGGTACCTATTTTCAGAAATCAGAATCAGTAATAGGGCCCACCTATTGTCGATTAGGGGCTCGAAGGTCAGTGAGCGGCCGGCAGCAGGC